TTTCCAATTTACCCAATATGTCAGCCTTCTAAAAGATAATTTGTCAACTAGCTTGGGGATTCCCTGGTTAAGTGGAGCCTGTTAGATGGTTGAATGGAATGCACTCTGTATGTTTTCCTGCTTTTTTATTCATTTCTTTTAATTTAAATTGGTTGCTTAATGGTTTTTATATATTCTTGATTATAACATGTATGCCACTTAGTAACTGTATGATTGATGGCTATACAGATGTGATTGATTAAATACATGAGGTCTTTTGGCATTGAGTTTGACCTCTGGCTAGCCCTGTAGATTTCTACAATGCTACTATTATGTATAAAAATGAATTGCAAAAAAGTAATTGTAATAGGTGGCACATGAAAAAAATATTTTGGGTGGATCGATAAAATACAGTTACTGACTTAAGTATTTCCTTCCTTGTTCTCCAGAACTTTTGAGTTGCTGCTGACGAATTCTGGCAGCAAACAGCTTAGAAAGGGCCCTGCAGTTTCCTGCTTTTTCTTTTTGTTCAGGCAAAAAGTCCAAACCAAATGTGTAAACTTTCCTTTAGTTATTACAAATGAAGAGAATATGCGTATCTCAGAGTGGACTCTGCGGTTCTCTAAGCTTGGTTGTTTAGTTATTGCACACCAAAAATATTCAATTAAATACACATTTCAGCTAAAAGAATGCAAATGACCAGCTCTCTCCAAGGAGTATAAATTCTTCCATTCCCCACCATCCAGTCAGAGCTGAAGAAGCTTCTTGGATGAGAAGTGAAACATCTTCCAAGAAAAAACAAGAAAGTCCAGTTGCCTCTTGAAAAGGCATCTGTGACTGAATCTCCATAGACTTTCAGCTCAGAGTTTTTAAAAAGTTTATCCTCCAATTGGCAAAAGGCAATTCAGGTTATCCATGTGGACAGTGTTTGATGTATTCTAGAGATTGAACATGGGTCATGCAGGATTGACAGCAGGTACTGCTAGTTAATACTGTGCATGCCATCTCCCAAAAAGTTTCCATTGCATACTACAACGACACAGGTTTTGTGAAGGCATAAATTGCTGTGGAATGTCAAATACACTACAGTGGTCTCTTCCTAATTGAGCTTTAAATCTTGGAAACCAACATCAGTAGGCTTGAATGAGTTACTTGGCTTCCTTTCTGTTGGAGCAATAGTTTTTCTAAGACAAAATGAAGTTTAGATTTATTTCTCCTTTAATTACAAGGAAACAAAATAATTCTGCGCATTTGAGTCGAGAGGAAAAAATATATAACATAAATCTGGCTCTAATTATAGAAGGTTATTTTTAATACTAGCATCTTCATCACAGCATGGGGATTGAGCAGAGCTGTTACCACTTTATCTTCAAGCAAACTAATGTGTAAATATATATTTTTAGGATGCTTGGGAACCTGGTTATTCTTAAAAGGGGAGAGCTGTTATAATTGGTTTTTCAGTAACCTATTTACTGGAAATTAGATTACATGTAATTATCCCAGGGTGAAGTAACTCTTCATCCCCATTAATATACTTATCTAATACGCATTTTAATACCATCTCTCAGTAATGTACTTTTGCATTCATTGGAAATATAGGAACACCTGTTACTGCTTTTGTATTTGCTGGCTAAACTGGCCGGAAGGCATGTGGCTTGCTGTAGTAAGAAGAATGAAAATCATGTCACTTTGTGTCAGCAGAATGAAATATGGGATGGAGTATGGATGCAATAAATCATATGCCAGCAGCCATAACCTAAATAAAAGACAACATAAAATTTGTGTAGCAGTGAAGAAGAAATCAAGCATCTGTAGAGGGTAGAACAGATAAGAATCTTATAACTACTTGTAACATAGTTAACTTCATAACATTCTTACTGTAGTTTTTGCTAGATTTCACGCTTTTTCTGAAAATGTTGGCACCTCTGATCAGAAAGTAGTTTATTCCGCAGTAGACTCTTAAGATACAATTCACTTAAAGTGGACTGTATGTTACAAATAAGAATGAATACCTATACACAAATAAAATTTTGATAATTTTAGATGGATGCTTACATATTTGAAGAGATATTTAAGCATGTTTGTGTGTATGTATGTATTTCATGTATATACACACACACACACACACATCAATCAGTGGTGGGTTCCAGATCCTATTGCAATCGGTACAGTTGCAATGGGACCCGGCGTCCTCCACATGAACGCGTGCAGCACACACACTCAGCGCGCGCATGCATCTTACAACCCAATGACGCCTCTGCAAGCCTCTGCGACGCTCCAGCTGCTCAGCGGAGCGTCGTGCAGGTGCTGTACGCACCATGCACGTGCGTGGAAGCACCAAAGGGTTTAAAGACAGGTGAGCATGGGTGGGCCGGTGGGCCCTCCAGAGCACCGTACCAGAACGGTACTCGGTGCTCCGGGCAGGCTCCGGTACGCCTGTACCAGGGCATACTATCTGCAACCCACCATCTTTTCAGCTCACATTCTTCTAGTTGGGAATGGTGAAATTCTATTTCCAGGTACAAATTGTCTTCCTCAATAATACATGTAAGGTAAATCAGTAGGGCATTATTTTGCTATATGTTTGAATTTTTATTATACATGAATACACACATACACACAGTATCTATGCATATTTTGTATGGCATTGTGTGTGAATGTGGGGATGAGTAGGAGACCTTTTTTACTGGTTTCATTGTGATAATACATAATTAAAATTTGAAAATTGAAAGCTGAAGTGTCTTCCTAGGTTTTTTCTTGTTGTATGTGGCATCTACCTAACTCAGAGATTGCACACATTAAAATGCAAACCTGAATATTTCTATACTGAAATTCTGTCTGGTATGACATTTACGCCTAAGAGTACCAACCATATATATATTAGAAATAAATTCATGAAGTGAAATAGGAATTATTCAGTTTAATTACATTTACAGTAGGACTTGAAGACTTGTGGCAAATATTTTGCTCCTTAGCAGAAAATTTAAAAATTAATCAATTTATACAATAGTGTTATCCTCACTTTGGAGATAGAATTAAATTCAGAAAAAAATGTTGAACAATTTGAGCTACAGACTATATAATTAAATTGCTTGTATTATTACTAACTCACATATTTTTTTAATTCCCACAATTGATTTTTCCTACGATCCGTCTACTTTTGTTTTCACTATGTTCTTCAAATTCAGGGAGAGTAGTTTATAGCAGCTTTCTTGTTCTCCTATATTTTCCTTTCATGATTCTTCGATAAGACATATTCATGTATAATGTTCTTCATATAGAGCTTTCCCATTTTATCATTTGTTCTTTCATGATTTCCTCTTCCATTTTATGCTTCAGGAGAAATTTAAACACACCCAGCTTTGGTACATCCCATGCATGACCTCTGTCTCCACCAACATTGGAAAAAGGGGTGTTGGTTCTTACCTGATATGCCCCTTCTTGAGGCAGATGGAGACAGCGGGTCATCCCCACCCTTTGGTTCCTGGCCTAGTTCGCAGAGTGAGTTCTGGGAGCTAGGCTGGAGTTTCGGAGGATTGAAAGCAGTCAACTAACGCACAGCAGTCTACTTATCTCCTTTGTCACAAAAGCAGGAAGACACTCCCACGAAGCAATGACATCACTTTGGTAGACTCAGTTCTATTGGTTACTGACTGAGTTAACCCATGCATGACTGCTGTCTCCACCTGCCTCGAGAAGGGGCGTATCAGGTAANGGTAAAATGAGGACCTGGATTGTTGTTGGGGGCAATATGCTGACTCTGTAAACCGCTTAGAGAGGCTGAAAGACCTATGAAGCGGTATATAAGTCTAACTGCTATTGCTATTGCTACTTCTGAATATTACCTTATAGTTCTGGAGTTTAAAATTACTTCAAACTCTTTTGCCTAGGTAATGAAGCATACATATAATTATCAAAGTTATCTTCTTTATGTTCTGTAAGATCTTAGCAGTAAATCTCAGACCCCTGAGTTATATGGCTGAGTTAAATAACTTAACTCAGGGATCCCCAAACTTGGCAACTTTAAGACTTGTGGAATTCTCCAGCCAGGAAAGCTGGCTGGAGAATTCTGGGAATTGAAGTCCACAAGTCTTAAAGTTTGAAGACCTCTGCTTAACTAATTTGCTAGGCTTGAACTCAGCAAAACCTTTATCAGGCACATGAAAAAGTAGGCTACATAATTTTTTTTCTTGCAAATGAAGATAAAGTCATATCAAAATGTTGGTTGCCCTGTTATCATGAGGTTGTAGTTCCTTATTATCTACAGCAAGTGCTATTGCTCCATGGCCTTGAAACTGATCAGCTGTTAATATAATTGGCTGTCAACATATCTCTCACAAGTCATGATGTTTTGTTTCCAAACATACACATGAAAATATATCTGAAGCTATATAATTTATAATACAAATATACCAAAAATATGTTATAATTTAAAGACACATACAGAAATGTTATACACATTTGAAACAAATAGACAGTAATCTTAGATTCAGGTTCAGTTACCTGGAAGTAAGTTTTTTTCTTTCTGAAAAAAAAATGTAAAATTAGACTTTCAGATAAGATAATATGACTATAACAGAATTTACTTCTAGCAAATGTAGATTAGATTTTACTAAGTGGTTTTCCTTGCTTAGACTGGTGTCCCAATTTAATCTGACATTTTCAATCAGCGGAAAGTTTATATTTAAATATAAGTGTATTATTGCAATGTTGCATGCACAGTTTTTTGCCTGAGTATCTTGTCTCCTGGGTGTACTTCAACTACCTTTAAAAAATTTAACTTCTATAAATAAGTAGCTTCCGTTTTTTGAACACTAGAAATATGAAGGAAGCTTCTGTATCATTTATTGGGGGTCTCGTTTCTGAACTGAGCTGCTTATGACTGATATGAATTCTGCTCTTTCTTGAAAACAGCTAATTTATTTGTGCACAGTTCAAATAGATGTAACTGCATGCCCAAGCACATATTTGCAAAGAAACTAAAGATACCATTGTTTCAGGGATTGTAAATTATTTTTTAGAATTTCAGAATTTGAAAAGGGATAAGTGGAAGGAGAAAATGTTGGGCTGGTGCCAAGCGATAGCTCGTAATCCTCACAGATTCCCAAACAACACAAGAACTCCCGAAGTCACAGGTGATGCTTCACATATCTCTGCCTTGGTGAGTGGAAGTTCTATTTCATGATGATGGCTTGTACAAAAAAAACCCACCTAAATTGAAAATTCCTAGTGCCATCCCCTCTGTCCAAGCAACAGTCTTACAGCTTGTACAGTATCTGAGTCTACTTTTACTTTATATTTTCCTTTGTGTTTTGCTTGGAATGCAGTGCAGTGGTCGCATGTTCACATTTCTAAGGTTGCTATTTTTTGCTCATTTATTTTTGGTTTGCCTGTCTTTTATGTGATGGCTGTTAAAGTAATTGGGGGAGGGTTGTTTTGCAACGTGCTTTCTTAAGTTTGCCAGCTAATATTTCCTCCTTTTATCCCATTAAGAATATTGACAATATATATAGCTTTCTGTATATCTTTACAAGTCTTTAGTGCATGATATGATGAGAATGGTCTTATTTAAAGGGACTATTTTGCTTGATTTGTAAAGTTAGTTGTGGTATGAACAAGAAAATTGAATTTTACAAATAACGTGCATTTTTCACATTTCCTGCATGGTGTGTAGAGATTGAGAATATAACAATACCTGTAAGTTAAATTACATTTTAGTTTTAAATAAAATTTGTTGGACATTTTTCCAGATTGACAGATATTTGTTGAAATAATATTGTTTTGAAACTTAATACTAGACTTATAGAATATATGTCAAAATAAAAATTATTACAATCTGAATCTTCAGATTAAAAATCTGAAGATTTTTAAATATTTTTCTTTTTGTTATTTTACAATCTAATTTACTTGATGGATACTTTGAATCTCTTAGCAGTCATTTATATGTAACAGAAAGAGAGCAATCCTTCAGTTCCATTTTAATATTTCCATGCAAGGTTTATTAGAATTTTCAGTACTATAAATGGAACCAAATATCCTTGTATCATTATTATAAACTTCCAGAATTTCTGTATTTATATTCCAACCTTAAAAAAAGACTTTTATATAAATTTATACTATCATGGCTTGAAGTTTTGAATTTCATATATGTTTTGTCTTCTAATTTTCAAAAAAAGATATTGTCTCCTAACGTTTTGTCAATGAAAATAAAAAATCGACCATAATAAAATATTGGTATTTCATTTTTGATTATTATGATTATCTCTCTTATCTAGTTGCAACAACTTATTTAACGGGATATAAAATGAACTATTTAATCACCAGCACATATTTTCCTCTAAAAGCATTTAAACTAAGTTAATGGAAGGATGAGGAATGCTAAGAATCTCTGTTCTGTTCTTGTTATTATCCATTTAATTGGTTCTATTGGATTAATTAGGATTTTGAAGAATTTCTTGAAGTTGTGTTCTGACTAATACTATCCTATAATGTACTATACTACTACTTAACTACTTCAAAAGAATTGTTTGGATCCTTATACATAATCATGTAATTTAATTACTTTTCTTTAAAATAAAGTATCTGTTGTGTAGAAAAAAGATTTCTATTATTTTAAGCTACATAGTAGGCTGGTTATTTTGTGATATTTTACAATATGGAGAATGACTGAAGTGTATATCATTTAAGCATATTGGCTACTTACTTAGCATTTAATAAGTTTAGATCAACAATATTACCAAATTCTTACCAAAATTGTGATGTTAAAATGTTGGAGAACTTCTGCTTCAATATTATGTCAATTTAATACTTCATTTTTTTAACCTTCGGAAATGTTTAACACAGTGTTTCTCAACCTTGGCAACTTGAAGATGCCCGGACTTCAACTCCCAGCATTCGCTGGCTGGGGAATTCTGGGAGTTGAAGTCCGGACATCTTCAAGTTGCCAAGGTTGAGAAACACTGGTTTAANCCCCCCCCCCCGCCTGCTGAATATTCCCAATTAGGAATATTGCCTCATCACAGCAGTGGTTCGCCCTTACAAATGACCGCAGAAGTTCTGCAACATTTGCCTTACATATTCCCCTGCTCCTGGCTGCCTCTTCACAGGCACTTTGTCTGTGGAGACTCACTAACTTTGCAAAGATCTCTCTGTCATAGTTTCTTTGCCTGCTTCATTGCTTCACATTCTTGGTGCATTCACAGAGAACAGAGGCCTAAGTTTCCATGAGATCATGCGAGATCAGTAGTGTGAGATCTCGTGCTACTGATCTCATATGATCTCTATTCTCTGTGAATTAATGCCTGGGCATTTCCAAACAGAGGGAAGCTTTAGTCCTTCAGTTTTGCCCTCTGTTTGCCGTTTCCTAGCCGAAGCCTGCAGGGAGATTGCGTTCCAGAAGGCTTTGGCAGCCCTTTGCAAAAAGCCTTTATTGGCACCAGTGGCACTTGCGAGGGGCAGACGCCTTCCTCTGAAGCTCTGTTCCTATCAGCAAAGGATTTTTGAAAAGCGCTGCCGAAGCCTACAGGCTTGCAATCCTCAAGTGCTTTGCCAGTGAGAAAGGAGGCCCAGAGATCCATTTGTAGCTCTCTGGGCCCCTTTTCTAACCTCCTTTTTTTTGCCAGAAGCCTTGACAAACAAATCTCTGGCGAGCTATTGAAACATTAACATAACTCTATAAAATTCTTAATACCATTACTAATACTATGGACTAAAGACGGACACTATGGAAGTCACAAAAAGAATGTAAAAACAGAAAAAGATAAAAATTAAAGAGGACTTTGCTAATTTTAATTGCTGGCAGGCAAAATCTAATGATTATAAATAGTTCCTGACTAGTCTGAGAGGATAAAATCAACCAAAAATCTTTTCATTATGACCTATAATATATGTGTCAATAAAGGAAGGACAAAAGTTTATTTAATGATGCTGGTAAACAGGAAAAGAGTAAAAGCTTATGCATGATGGTCAATACCATTCATGTTACATTAACAAATTTTTGTAGAAATGAGGACTTTGCTAAATTTCTCCTTAAGACTTTCAGAGGTAAAAGATCAAGTGTGCTTCTGAAAAATTCTGTTTGCCATGCAGCCAAGATTGAAGATATCAAGTATCTTCCCAGTTCCCAGGTGAAGAAGTTGTGAAAACTCTTTAACATAGTTTGAAATATGACTGACCTCATTCTGCAATTCTGCTTCAAAGACCCCCATCTTTAATTATTCTTTTGGCTGAGTGCTTTCCAAAATGATCAATTGTTCAAGCAGTAACTTTAGCCAAAATTGCATGTTACCTTGAAGATATAAATTGATGCCCCAAATCTATCAGTATAGATGGACAACAGTAGCATTTGAAATAATAGATAAATCTTAATAGCCGTGCTCTCAGCTTCATTTTTGTTTCACCTTTTCTTTTCTGAACATCACATCACAAAGACTTCCCAAAAACATGTAGGCACTTCTAAAGACTTCCCAAAAACTTTTTTATAGCTTCAAGTGATTTGTAGTGAGGGATTTATTCAACTGAATGTCATATGTATAACATTTTGGCTCCACCCACCCACCCAGATGTCATCATGGGCGCTCTGCACATGCCCACACTCCTGGTTCCAAACCGGTAGTGAAAATAAGATTTCATGCCTGGTGTACATCTATACCAGAGCATAAATTTCATAAGCAACAAACTGCTAATTCTTTCTGTGTTCCTTATGTTGTTATGATCAGAATTCAAGCAATCTATTGCCTGACAAAAGCCTACATTAATAGATTTTCAATGTATAATAGCATAGTTTAATAATTACACAATACATATATTTTGACCCTAAATTTACTAGTATCCAAAACATTTTTGTTCCTTTATTCCAGATGGAGTCTTTCAAATCTCACCCACTTACCATGTTCCATTATATTTTTCTAGATACAAGCATGTTTAATTCTGGATTTGGATCAATATGACATTAGTTTTGAATAAACTAATGGACAAAAATACACTTTTGAATATTAAATTTAAACATCTTGGTTTCTTTCATGATGGTAATAATGTAAAGAACTTTTTTTTCCTAGGGCAATATAATTAGCTTTATGCTCTGTTTATTTCCATTGTTTCTATGGAGAGTACTTTCCAAGGTTAATGTACAATGTTTATAACATGTATAACATTATAATAAATATTTGAAATGCTGACATTTACAATAAATGCTAACACGTCCCTGTCAGTATTTGAATATCCTAAACAAAAGAACAATGAATATGATTATACATGAAAATGCCAGCATTCTCCAGAAATGTTGAATACTAATGGAATAGTGGAATTCATTATACTTTTTTTTCTGGTTTTCTGTTTAACATCTTGTGTTCCACATTTCAATATCAAAAACCTCAAATTAGACTTCTAGCAGTTTAGACAGGTAACAAGTTTATGTTAATTCATAAATTAATTGCACAGATTAAACTAATACCAACAAATATATAAACTTCAGCAACAGAGAAATAAGCCAGGTGTCATGCAATAACTGGAATGCCAAGACTAAGGAAGAGATAAAGACAGTCAGAACTCAAATAGTACTATTAAGTAGCATTGTTAAGTAGCAAAAGTAGCAATATAAGGAAGTTCCATTACATTTCCCAATGTGTTAAGTTTCTGAAAGCACAGATGCACAGAGCAATGCTACCAATAAGGAATATTCATTTATTAACATAAATGAATCTTGGGAATGATAGGCAGGCAGGGAGGCAGATAGACAGAAGATGAAGAGATTGGAAAAGTCTTCATTGAGTATATCCAATTCCTGCTGATTCCTATTGATCGTAATTCCAGAAGCAGATGTTGCTGCCTGTGGGAGATTTTAGAGTAATCTGTGGGATGTGCTCAAAGCACTAAAATCTACAGTTCAGAGAAGCATTTCCTTCCTCATCCTCCCAGCAGCATTTCTACATGTGGATAAGTCAAATGCCTTGCTCTGTTATATTCATTTCTCATAAATCCTTACTTGACTGGTGTTATAAATATCTGAGTAATAAGACTGAATAGTGTCAAGTAGAGAAACATACATGGGAGGTAGTGAATTGAGGTCAGGCAGACATGGGCTGTTGAGGCGAATGAAGTCAGTGCTGTTGGCTTTGCAGAGCAACCATTTAATACATGAAAAGAATGAAGCTTATGTGCACC